TGTGCTTTTCGAATGCAAGACCACAAGTTTTATTGTAATGCGTTGTATTTTATTCTGCAAAATAGGAAGGGGCAAAGGTGCAGGATAAGTGAGACTGCCTTCAAAACCGAATGCATTGCCTCACACCCTAAAGAGCACGCAAAAACGTCCGAGCAAATGTTTTGTAAGGATTGGCTTTGTGCGTGGTGATTTGTCCCGAGCTTGGAAGAACTCTCTGCAGCCCCGCCGCGGTGGTCTAGTGGCTAAGGTACTCGGCTGCTGACCCGCAGGGCGCGGGTTCGAATCCCGGCTGCGGCGGCTGCATTTCCGATGGAGGCGGAAATGTTGTAAGCCCGTGTGCTCAGATTTGGGGCACGTTAAAGAACCTCCGGTTGTCTAAATTTCCAAAGCCCTCCACTACGGCGTCTCTCATAATCATATAGTGGTTTTGGGACGTTAAACCCCACATATCAATCAAGAACTCTCCGCAAAGAGGTAATAAAATAATCACTGTGCTCATACACTACTGTACTACAACGCTCTGAACCCCAATTCGAAAAAACTACCAGTGCACCGGACGTCAGGGTGTTCGTTCCCCGGCACGATGACTTATCTTCGCCATGTGCGGCCATCGAAACTACAGAAATACATTGAAGTCAATGCATAGAGCCATGCCCTCTCATTTTGCCACGGTACAATCAGCAGTTCTTTCGCATGAAGCACGTTTGAGAGCAGTTCTCTGCGGTAGCACATGGCGAGTGTTATCTGGTCATAATTTGTAGAATTTCTTTGATTGCCTTAAAAAATAGGCAGGTCCCACGTGCAGTGAGAATCCATAATATGGGAAGCACGAATGAGGAAGGTTCATATGTCACTTTAAAATCAGCACAGCGTTACGAGGTGGAAGTAAAGGATGCCGTACATGACTTTCGCGTCATGATTATCAAGTTTGAATGTGTCTTTTACCTTCGTCATCTATTCCGTCACGTGATACCAAATTTAGTATAAGTGAGGCTAACAAAACGCCAGCGAGCACGCTATGAGCGTGGTATGTTGCCATGTTCTTCATGGCATGCGTGTGAGGAATATTACGTTTGCACCAATAATAAATTTCGTCATTCATTGACGTCACGTAACACAAAATTCGGTATATGTGAAGCTAGCAAAATGGCCGCGAGCGCATCATGAAAGGCCCAACGTACTCCAATATAGCGTGGACGCGCGTGAACGCTGGGTACAGCGACGCTACAATAGCGAAACGCCAGCACTCTATAGTCTGACGCCGGGCGCGACCGGCGTCCGTCGGCGTGGCCCGACGGAAACTGGCGCGAAATGCGACATGCTGCATTTCAGGCCGATGCGTTACCCAGACAACACAGCGTCTCCCTCTTTTCGTGAAGGAGGGACGCTCGACACGATGAAACGCACATGCGTCTAAGCAACACAGCGTGGCGCACTATTGCGAACACATGGCAGGACCGGAGCATGACGTGGCAACCTCGGCGTGACGCCATGAAATGAACGCCGGCGAGCACGCACACCGCGTTACATTGAAATGTATTGGCTCCTTAATCGGGACATACAGTCATGTACTCACATGACACGCATGTAATGATGATCATGTTCGCACCAGTCACATACCTTCGTCAACATTCACATACCATAATACCAAACTTGGTATATGTGACGCTAGCGAAACGGCCGCGAGCGCATCATGAGCGTGGCCTGTAGTCATGTTGTTATATGACAGGCATGTCAATATTTTCATGTCAGGATCTGTCGCTTGTGTTCGACATGCAATCATCTCATACCATACCAGTTTTGCAACAAGCTATGTGAACGAAACCACCGCAAGAGCTGCAGGACCATGAAGTGAAAATCATTATGTCTAGACAAATATGTTGTTCATACAGTCATGTTACGCCATACCAAGTTTGGTATTGATACCAGTATCAAAAGGGGTCAGGAGAGCTAAAAGTCGTAGGTGGCTAGACAGACAGACAGACAGACAGACAGACAGACAGACAGACAGACAGACAGACAGACAGACAGATAGATAGATAGATAGATATAGATAGATAGATAGATAGATAGATATATAGATAGATAGATAGATAGATATATAGACAGACAGACAGGCAGACAGACGGATAGATAGATAGATAGATAGATAGATAGATAGATAGATAGATAGATAGACAGGCAGACAGGCAGACAGACGGATAGATAGATAGATAGATAGATAGAGATAGATAGATAGATAGATGATAGATAGATAGATAGATAGATAGATAGATAGATAGATACGCTAAAAGTCACCGAAGTTCGCTAAGAAATGCTTCACATGTAATAACACTAGGCAAACAATATGTGGAGAGAAGCTTGTTCTGAAATGCCCTCTTCGATATTATGAAACAGACTTGGCCATAGAAATATTCTAAATATCGCTGCGCAATCAATCTTAGTTGACTAAATGGGCATATTTTAGATGTGCCATAGTGAGCGCCACGTCATATCAAACCATATGTAGTGCGCTTTATTCAGGGGAAATGTTTCAGTTAAGCGTTTTTTTTTAAGATTTGGTTTTAGTTACGCCTAACCCTTGTGTACACAGAATATAGGCGGCACCTAGAAAGCTATGACAGGCTAGATGATGTTTCGTCAAGTAGATATTTGGGATCGATTTAGGAAGCCTTAGTGCCTAAAGTGGTCGATTGAACGCTGATATAAAAAACGAAGTGTTTGCTGTTGTGATACCTCTAGAAACTCCTTTCTAATACATTTCAGTTGTTCACTTGTAACTTTTCTTAATACATTGCAAACTCACTATCGCTATTTAACTGTATTTTCAGCAGAAGTTTCTCTCCGACCACTGGAGGGACACCTACCGTATTCTACCTCTGTACTGCACATTAAGTAAAATAAAATTTCAATATATTGATTGTAAGAAATATACAAATTGTTTTACTAAAATAATGAACTATAGCGACCATGTTTGAGCACCAGGTTGCACAAGATGTCTTTCAACTAACATAAAAACTCAAACAACGAGCAGGTAACATGTACAGGGACTAAGTAGGACAAGGAGCAGCGTGGTTCTTGGTCCTATTTAGTCTATATCCACTCTATGCGACCATATTTTAAGTAATAAAAAATTACCAACTCGCCCAATTAGCGAATTGACAGGCATGTCTTAAAAATAATTAAGTTACCTATTTATTTTACATACTGCAGCCGCTCATGAGTTATGGCACGAGTGGCGATAACAACAGATTTCAAGCCCAGTCACACACCAATCATTGCTAAAGCACGAACAAATCCAGGCAAAGCCTTCCAATGATTAGTGGTGCTCTATTAGAACGTCGGTGAGCCATACGGTCACGTACGCCTTTCCTGTTTATTTGTGGCTGGTGCTTTTCTGCGGTCGCGGGATCGAATCCCGGCTGCGGCAGCTGCATTTCCGATGGAGGCGGAAATGTTGTAGGCTCATGTGCTCAGATTTGGGTGCACGTTAAAGAACCCAATGTGGTCGAAGTTTCTGGAGCCCTCCACTACGGCGTCTCTCATAATCATATGGTGGTTTTGGGACGTTACACCCCACATATCAGTCAATGGTGCTTATCTGCTATAAAGTTCACCCAATGAACAGTTCCCTCTCTTCCAGTTTTGTTGCCGACCTATTACGCAAGAGCTCAATAACGTTTCGCTTATTGTCGAGCACCTTAATGAGAAGTTTTGTAGGTATGCGCCACAGAAATTGTAGAACCCTACTACCGAGTGCAAACAATATTGGGCACCATATGAATTATTGCTGGTGGCAAAGGGATCTGAACGCGTGGATGAGGAAAGGATTAAAAGAATAAATTTGAGAGCGTGATTCACAGCATGTCTATGAATTTCACAAATTTAACAGGTACGATAAGCGACGTAAGGGTAAGGAGGAGTAATGGGATGGTGACGAGGATGGACAGGGTAAAGCACTGTATTAACTTGCGAAGTATGGTACAGCAAGTTGATGGGAAAAAAAGTCGTGGTGTGGTGGACGGAAAAGTGAAACATAAATGGGTAGCTCTTTTACCTTTTACCTAATTGTAGTTGAGCACGACGGAAAGCGGGAAGAAAACTCCACCACCTTCACCGTTTTATCAGTATTTGCAGCACAATGGCGTAATTATCCTATTTTTGGGAGACGTAATCACACGACAAACGTGGACAGTTAGTGGATCTCTTTTATATTTCATACCTCTTGAACCGAATGAATTGAGGTTGTCAATCAATGCTAATCTATGTATGTTTTATTTTACGAAGAACGGACGTTCGACTGATGGCATAAAAAGTGTGTTCATAGCCCATTCAGTCAAGAAATATTACATGGTGTCAAAAACGCATCCAATTTGCGCGGAATATTTTCCAAGCACTTAGTATTAGATTCCAAGTAAGAAAAAAAAGCAAGGCGTTCTTTTGTGTGAGATTTAGTAATTTAATGTTTTCAGTATGTAACTGTCTATTTATTCTGCCACCAGCCAGCTACAGCATTGCATAAAAACGATGCACTATTAGGTTAGAAGTGCTACAGAGTTTCTTTAATTTATTTGTTTGAGCGAAGAAAGAAAATACTTTTCGCAAATGTCCTTGAACGCGTCCCGGCGAACAATCGTCGAACATGGTAGTGAAGCCACCTAATTGATAATCTGCCGCTATATGGAGCATAATGAAGATAAATGATGCCAGTTGTCCGTTAAGAAGGCCTTCACAGATGTGCACAGAATTTTCAAAGCATTTGATCAAGCTCGCAATGCGTGACGTGCTATTGAAGTTGGTGTACACAATTGTAAACACATTTTTTGAAAGAGATAAAGACTGCGTGATGAAATGTGCAATTTTTACCATAGCATTTAGGCTGTGTTAGAGCAATGCCGTTAAAGGAATCCATGTATTACCTGTGTCTTTCTGTGAGCCTAGTCCGACTGATCATGATGAAGTTGGTAATGATGCTTACAAATGTACATTTTTGTAGGCGTTGTCGGACTCATGGTTGAGCAGCTACTAGTTACTAACAGGAATCGTACTTGCGGTGTCTTCAAAATATATCGTCAGCAACTATGGGCCAGCAGAGACGCAGGTAAGAAAACATCAATTTTCTAAAAGCGGGAGCTAGAAGGAACTGGCTCTTGAATCAACAAAGCATAGTGGAGACTCCCACTGATAAGTACTAATTATTTATTACAACGTAGCTGCCATGTTTTAAGGCCTGTTTATTGGACAATCCTGAGGTTTTACAGCACATCGTCAGTTCTATTGCCGTTTAACTATACTTTCAGCTGCCGTACGTGAGTCTTGCCCGCACAAGAAGAAAATATGTCAGAGCACTTTTCCTTAGGTATACTTTAATAATCCCGCAGGAATCACACATACGCTGACGTTATATTGCTGTCATGTCCGTTAAAATTACGTGGAGTGGTCCGTATCACGAGCGACTCTAGGGGCCTTGACAGTCAGTTCGCTCTGAGAAAAACAGGTGCCTTCACACAGTGCTTCACGTGTCTACCTGAGGCGTGCTCAGTCAAAGCATTAAATTCTACATTTGCCTTGTTTAATTGATAATAGCCCTGCTTGAGGTGCTTTTCAGGGTCGCGAGTTCGCAAATAAGCTGGTAGTCAGAATCCGCGCATGAGACAACGGATAACATACCCACACCGGGTATATTATCTTTGGGTAACTTGTCCTTCACTATGACTAAGGGTTGTCGCAGTAATGGGTTTCGACAACCTCCTGCATTCTACAATGCTCGGGGTCCATGTAATGTCTCAGTGCAACATGTACCGGAGCAGATACTGTGACTACCCTTCGTCAAAGTGAAGGACAAATGGCCCAAAGAAATTGGCGCGCCCACCTCGCGTTGGCCTCGCTCCAAAGTTCATTGCTTCCACGAAGCGCCGCCTGCACGGCGCTTGGTCTCTCCTGCGCGCGTGCCTCTAAAACTCGTACTAAGACTCGTAATTCAGGAGAGGACGAAGGTGTCTTCGCACACTACAGCAGCCGCATTTACAAAAGAAGCACGCTGCTTACACACGACGCAGGATTAATGGTGAAGGTTGTTCGCTCTTTTCCTGCGAATACTTGTGCGATTGTTTCTTGCGTCTTTCTGTAGAATAGCACGCTCTAAGTGCTTAACTTTGACAGGTGTTAAACAGCGCTCGTCCTGTGTATGCTAATTTAGTGCATGCTTTCTGCTTGAGGTGTGGCGGCAATTTTAAAGACGCTATTCTTTCTTGGGTACCTTTAAAGCAAACATTGTGATTTGTCTGTCTACCTATCTGTCTGTCTGTACATTTGTCTGTTCGACCACCCTTAACGCTACCCTCAATGACACCGAAGTGACCAAAGGATACTCTAAACGGCTGACCCATCCGTAGTGCCCACCCATATTGCTCAAAGTTCAGGGTTCATACTTGTGCGATTGTCAATTAAAAAGCAATTATTGCGCATACCTGAGGCACTAAAGCACGTCAATATTATGTATTTGTATTTTTTACTAGAAAAGGAATACATAAGTAATTTTGAAGGCCGTAGTGTTCATCACGCTGCACTAACCATGCAACGCTTGCGCGAAAATACAAGTGTTTCCAACGCTTTGCTGAGACGACACGGTGGTGGCACCTACCCGTCGCCTTGCGTTCTACACCTTACACTCCAGAGACAGCGCGCACGCCACACGCTTCGTTATCGAAAATAACTGCCATATAGCGCTCATGTCTCACGTGTGACTTGACCTGATGCGCTCGTTCGCCTCCGCTGCCCGTTCGAGGCACTCTAACGCAGCACCTTCGGAGTACCATTCACCAATTGTTTTTGCGCAGAACATCGAATAAACGTTTTGTTCACTCTCTCCAGATAAAATATACGTCTTTTGAAGACATTTGCTGTGTAACACGCAGATACGGGGCCATTTTTAGCTGCTTGCCGTTCTTAACGTGACTTAGTGGTTTGTGGGTGTTGCTGGAGCAATACATGATAAACACTCAACTACCTCTGTAACGACACGTATCACTTTGTTGGTATACCTATTTCCATAAAGGGAGACCAGCCATGTTTTCGCAATAATGTCTTTATCCACCATTAGGAAACAGGCGCAACAGGTTTTTATGTCTACAAAAGGTTGGGCGTTGATATCTTTCTATGAAAGCGGAAATCTAGAAGTATGGATGTTTATATAGCTTATATATGGGCAAAACCCGAGTTTGTATAACCATGCTCAGCTTTGTCAGATAAGTTTGTCATCAGATAGGTTCGGTAGTATCGAAGAATTTCTCGAGAATCGTACGAAAGCGAGAGCTTTCCAGATGAGGAAACAACAGTGTTAAATTGCGCACACCTAAAATAAACCTTCCATCGGATTTTGGGCAGTTGGTAATTGACGGTGAAATCTGTTGAATGGTGCTACACATGTTTCAAAAAGCTCCTAGGTGTTGGGGTATTTTTGTTCTTTCTAAATGAAAAAAAACGTATATCTTAAAACCTTTGTTTCTCTTTTAGACGCCATCTATGAGTTGCGTGTGCGAAATCCAAATAGTACTGAGATTGAGAAGAAATGCATGAACAAATTCACGAAGTACAGCAGTCATAAAGGCCGAAAGATATACTCCTCTCATTGCAACGCCAAAAGTTACGACTGCAGCATTTTGCCTGAATGATGTGTGTTCGAGACTGATAAGTGGTGGTTGTTTTGAATAAATTAGTTTTGACAATGACAGTACCTTCTTATTATGTATTCTTTTGTAGTACATGACAGTGCGTGCGAAGTAAACAGGACGTAATTCCGTAGCTACAGCTTTGCTTCCTCCTATCAATGTAAAACTAGAAAATCTGCCACGAAAAAAATATTCACCGATTAGGATTACATGCATTGCAACAAAGGATGATAAAAGTGGAAGCTAGAAAAGAGAACAATGACATCATCAATAAGTCTTTGTAGTAAAGGTCACTTATACGCGTAAGACGTATTCGCGATGTATGCAGGAAAATAAACTATAGATCACTTATTGATAACATTTTATGGTGATGATGTGCGATATCAGAGAAAAAACGCTCAGGATCACTGCTGCGGGTACTAGGGCTCTCATACTGAAGGCATTGTGATTCGAAGCTTATACTAGGATTTGGCACTTCATTTTTTTTACTGACTGTTTCTTTTACAGCGAGTCAAATTACGGGCGAAAAAGACTACAGGGGACATGGGTTTCGCATTAAATTTGCCTAGACAATTTCATACCTAAAGGGACACGTCTTGTTATGAATCACTTTTGGCTAAGCATTATTGGCGCATGAAGCACTGGTAGACATTTTTCTTTGTGCAATCCTTTCTTTGCATGCCTTCGCATTGTTAGTTGTGATAAATATTTTATTTTTTATTTCTGCCTATTTTTGCTGAATCCCTCTGACATCCTAGAAACAGCCTGCCACGTATTTCGCTCATGGCTGTGGCACGCAGTCGTTTGACGCGAAATCAAAAGCGATGAAACACAGAAGAGGGCCTATAGCCCCTAGAAATGGATATTGCGTTTAGGAACATCCGGCTCATGCTATCATTTTTTCCGAGTCTATGTCGTAGTAGTACATGTGCAACGTTCATTAGGTTGCACATCGTCGGCAGTAGGTTGAACCACGTCTGCACATTATGCTCTGCCATGTCAGAATTTATTGGTAGGCAGCCAGCAACACAGTGGTTGATATACTGCCTTTTCTCAAGCGAAACTGCCTAAGATATTGGTGACGTGTGGTCTATTGTACGAAATTTCTCAGGCGGGTAGGCACAGAAATTTCAGCAAGGTTCAATACTCGAGAACCGTGGGTCAAAACGTGAAATGAAAACTGCTTGGCCAAGTATATGCGTGAAATAAGTGAAAAACAAAAAGACAAACAATCAGATAGAACTTAGACTAAAAAAACAGAAAAAAAAGAACACAAATAAACATGACTGAAAAAGAGAAAAATGTGGCGCAATGATAGAAACAGGCAGTAATATGGTAGCCATTCATAGACAAAGTAGATAACAAAATAAAGACAGGCTCGAAAAAGATAGAGAGGAAAAGCACGAGAGCCGAAAATAAAGAGGAAAATAGAAAAAGGAGGTAGAAGGGGAGTGCTGTCAACAATACAGGGTTTAAAATTTGGTAGATCCCACGTACCTTGTAATTGATGTTATGCGAAAAATGCGCAGGGAAGGTGACTGTGTTGTAATTTTTCATTGGGTAACCCGTTACGAAAAGGCACTTACGGTATGTTCAAATGTTGTACGCACAGACGTGTGTTAAACAATGGAATGTTCACTATTGCGTAACCATGCCAACAGCAACATGGGCATAAGGAACACCAGATTTTGTAATTAAGCTTATCGGAAGCTTTAGTGCCATTGGTGATGGCGGTCATGGACACTGCTAAATAAATGAGCTTCAGTGGAAGGCACTTCGCTGTCATTTTCACTAACCCGACGTGACGGCTGTGTGATGGCAGTACGTATGCACTGTTATAAATATTGTATAGCCAGCCCTGCAACCACAATTGACGTTTAACGAACATTATGGTCTACTTCAAAATCAGTTTCAAAACCTGGCGGGGCTCTGTGGTAGAACACTTGATAACCACGCAAAATACTGGGTTCAATTTCTGGCGGGGACTCTGATATTTGTTATATGCATTTGTGTAAATAACAAAATTTATGTGTAATCGAGTATACGACAGCACAGTATACGTTATCATCCGCACCGTCCGTTTGTGTGTCCATCGATGCATCTTTCCGCCCATCCGTGTATCCATGCATACATACAACTGCTGGTTTGTGCGTCTGCCCTTCCATTTGTCCTTCCTATATCCTAGTCAGCAACTTGATCGTAGACATTATAGATCTTAGAGCCTATAGATTTGCCCACCGTCGTCTTCACTTCGTGGAGATTCACTAATTTTTCCTATGGTTCACCAATTAAAATTATCAATCTCTGTTCGCGCCGTTGCTGGGTTGATAAAAACTGCCAACCCCGATCAGTGCGTTGTGCTTATAACAACAGTAGATTTTATCCCAACGTGATGGCTGTATTATGGGAGTACACATGTACTATCTATAAAATTTAATAGCCAATTGATGCTTCCGAAAATCGCGGTCTATTTAATAAGCAGTTCGCATACCCTTGCATGCTTTGAGGTAAAATATTTGGATGCCATGCAGAATGCTGAAGGTACATTCTATTAGGAAGAGGCCCTACGGTATCTTGGGTAGCATGTCGCGAGAACCAACGCTGGGAAAGGAACACCCAGGCAGTAGATAGGCAAAACGTACGTACAAAACGCGGACAAGAAAAGAGCTCCACGCTAGCTGCACCGGCTTTTTATAGGCCCAGGAGGTGAAGGCTGAACCTCCTTGGTTGAGGCGCATCCGTTGAAGGACGGACGCACCCAGTGACTCTGCTGGACGCATCTAGCATCTCTTAGGGGAATCCCAGCAAGGGGCGAAAGGACTGCACAACGCGGACCACGTTTCACACGTTAATGCAGACTAGTCGGGCGGCACTTTTCTGGTAGTCCAGCTCCAGGTATAGCCTGTGGGAGCCTTTATTTTGATGGGTCGCAGCACGCTCGTAACAGCTTCCCCACAAGGGGTAATGTTGACCCGAAGGACAAAGGTCAGCAGCTAGCCTAGAGAGTCCCTGCGGGAATCCAGACTGTTCGTTCCCAGAGACGCATGCAGCTGTTGGCGCGTGGCGTCCCTCCCTACTCGACTGTCATCTCGGACGCGCCTCTGACCTCCAAACTCACTCTCTGCAGAAGAGCCATCACAGAGATATCCGTACATGTCAGACGATACCCCAGAAGATCAACCAAGGTTATACTAAATCAACCAATAAAGCTGTCAGGAAAGAGGGAAACTGCACTTTGCCATTCCTAAAGCTGATGATATGTAGAGTTTAACGTTCCAAAACCGCCATATGATTGTGAAAGATACCGTAGTGGAAGGCTCCAGAAATTTTGACCACTTGGGGTTTTTTAACGTGCACCCAATTCTGAGAACAGGGGCCTACAACATTTTCGCCTTCATTAGCAATGCAGCCACCACAGCCGGGATTCGATCCCGCCACCTGCGGGCCAACAGCAGAGTACTTTGACCACTAGACCACCGCAGCGGGGTGATTGAGAAAGCTTCATGACATGCCCAAGCTTGAGTTCTTTACTATATGGTATTTATGAAACTGCAAAAGTAAGGCGCTCTGCTAATTTGTAAGCTCAATTTGATTCCCTTTCTTGCAATGGACTTGTCGGAATACTCTAAGATGCCACAAAACATGACAAATATAACCTTCCATTTTTGCACATACTTACTTTCTGATTGATTTTAAACATTTTTAGGGGCGAAGCTCCTTCAGGCGTGGGTCTGTTCATTGCTTGTATGTATGTAGTAATACGTAACCACTTGGCGCACACCCGCTCTAGAGTGGGTATGTGCCACAGGTGTTGTGAGATGGGGGATGGCAGTACTGGGATTGTTCACTAGTTGGATTGATTGATATGTGGGATTTAACGTCCCAAAACCACCATACGATTATGAGAGGCGCCGTAGTAGAGAGCTCCGGAAATTTCGACCACCTGGGGTTCTTTTACGTGCACCCAAATCTGAGCGCACGGGCCTACAACATTTCCGCCTCCATCGGAAATGCAGCCGCCACAGCCGGGATACGAACCCGAGACCACCACGGCGGGCCTGTTCACTAGTTGGAAGCACGGACGAATGCACAGACTTGCAGACAGGAAGACGGATGGATAGACGAGCGAATGTACGGACGGATGGACGGGCGAGCAGACACACAGACAGGTGGATGGACGAACTCATGGACGGACGCATAGACAGACGGCCGCACTCATGGATGGACGCATGGATGGTCACACGGAGGGACGGAAGCACAGACGGGCTGACGAACGCTTCGCCCCACTCATCATCATTCACTCCGTAGATACGATGTGATTTTTTTACACACTCCAATTATGCGGTGGGCTTTGTCAAGCTGTCATTCGACAGCTTTTTTCCCGGCCACCTTTTTTCACCGTAAATGTTTTTGTTTTTGGTGAAAATAAAGTTCTTTGATCGAATGATTGATTGATTGTATAATTGATTGATTGACACTGTGGTTATTAAGGACACAATTTCTAGACTGTGCACAACGAAATAAAGAAGTTCACTCTATCAACTGCTGAAATTGTACGTTATGAGGACGCCGATTACAGAAATCTAGTATATTGCCTGTCGGAATTTTCTATCTTCTTTGTTTAGAAGGTGCAAGTAAGGGCATAAAATGCTATTAGATACAGCCGAGTGACGGAGATGATTGGCTCATTCTTGCACCAAATAGAGGTGTATTACTGAGAAGCGCAATCAGTTGCCTTGAACATATGCAGAAACTTGAAAATATTACATTGACACTGACTATATTTTTATTGCGTAATCTCACTTGTTCGCAACAAAGTTTGCATAATTAGAGAGTCCGCATGAACGAGAAAGATTTGAATAGTGTACAACCTTTTCATTTAGCCACTTAAATGCAAGAATAGCCATGATGTATGGGAACACATGTTTTTGAATATAGTACTACCTGATATTACTGGAACCACTTAATTTAGCCTAGAGTCAAACAAACGAACGCATCAGAAGCCCTCAAACTCTGCATTCCAAAATTTTTTTGTCTGGCATTTCAAGGACACAGAGCAATT